GACCCCCGCTTCCCCCCCACACACAGGGTTTCTCTGTGTAACAGTCCTGGATGTCCTGGAACCCAATTTGTAGACCAGGCTGGCCTTGAACTCACAGAGATCCGCTGGCCTCTGCTTTAACCATGGCAACAAAAAAAGTCTCCTATATGGGTCAGAGAATGAAAAGTCAATGAAGGAACCCAGTAAGCCTTTGTGGTTGGGGATGGTAAGAGGTCATGAGAAACCTCTAGGTAGGGGGAGGTTGAGTGACCCCAGAATGGGTACGTGAGAAATCCCCCACGTGAGGAGACTGAGCGACCCTAGAGAGTCCATAGACTTGCAAGACAATTCAAATATGGGAAACCAAGCATTTCTAGAAAGGACCGATTTACAATATACCCCTTGTATCTTGGGGAGAAAAAAGATAAATGTGTTGTTTTCTCCTGTAGCTGTATGGTTTCTGTGTTACCTGAACTGAAGATGTGTGCATGTGTATGTACGTGAGGGACTAAGAATTAGACTCCTGACAGACAGGAGACAGATGGTAAAGATGGCACACTCCTGCTCTCTGTCTGTCTCACCCTCCTGACCCAAGACAAAGGCCAAGACAAAGCCACTTGAGACAGAGGCCTAGAAGGTTTTTCCTTCTGGACAGTAGCTCCCCTCCCCCACAGGTCAACAAGTTCAAGACTGGGCCAGAAAACGTGAACTACTTTGTTGGGGTGGACTTTTAGGCGGTGCGGCTGCTTTTACCTCAACCCTGTTCCTTGTAAGTAACCCCTCACCCCACACTCCTCTTAGTAACTCCAGTGGAAACCCATTAGCTCATCACTAATGCTGGGGTGTTAGTTTGGTCTGTTGTGCGCTCCGCTTCTGGGGTGAGCAGGTGTGTGTGTGTGTGTGTGTGTGTGTGTGTGTGTGTGTGCGTGTGCACGTGCGCGTGTGCGTGTGTCTGAATTGCATCTCCCCAGGAAAACTGTTATACAACAGCTCTTCAGGAGGAATGGCAGCAAACTGTAGGTCCAGGGCAATGGCCACTGATGGTATAGGGAATTAGGAAGTCGTGATTCAGGGCTTGCTTCCCAGCTGGAGCGTCCGGGCATGGATGCCCGTGACATTACTTAGAGGCAGGTTCTCCAGAGAATCAAGGAGCACAGGTACCATGAACTGAGCCAGTGGACAAGCACCACAGCTTGGCTGGACTCCCGAGTGGTGTCTCCCTATCCCACAGGCCCCGTTTCAGTTTCCTACATGCTACTCATCAAACTGGACGGCCAAAAGCCAGTCCAGACGTCTCTCATCCCCTTAAACCTTGAACGCTTGGCAAACACTAGTAATTGCACGCTGCAGGAAGCTCCCAGGCCCACTATCTCTGTTAATCATCAAAATTTGGAGGAAAGTCTGTGAACCAGACCCATCACTGCCCACCCCGCCCCCACTCGAATAAAGATCATATTTCTCTGTACCATCTGTACAAGTTTGCAAGTCAGTGAGTTTAACATTAGCTTCCCATACTCCTAACCTAAAAAGCTCACCGCCTCTAAACTAGATCATGGCTGTCTGCGACCAAGATACATTCCATTGGCCTTTTATGAAAACTCCTTGTTTATGGGCAAAGATCCAAACAGGAAGAAAGCGTCCTTTGTTGAATTACAATCAACATCACTGAGTAGAAGTCACAGCGCCAAGGGAGAAAGCCCAAGTTGCTCAAGTTTCTCTCCCCATGTGTCCCCCCCCCCCCCCTGCACCCCGCCTCTATTGTTTCCAACAGCTGAGTTATTTGGCGACCTTGAAGAAGTCACTTAGAAACTCTGCCTGCTTCTCTGGCTGCGAGAACCAGGTCTGTACTGTTGTTGCCTTGGATGACAAGTAAGGTGGCCGAGTCGGTACTGAGCACATACACACTGCACACAAATCTGTCTGTCCCTGCAAATGGTGAGGCTGTTGTTCTTAATTCACTAAGTGCCCCTCCCCTGAAATACCAACAGGTTAGAATGCTTCTGAAATCCGAAAATCAAGGTGACCCCTGTATCTAGTCTAGCTATGTCAACTATCCCGGCCTCTTTCTCTTTGAAGGAAAAATCCAAACCCAGGAACTGGATCCGGATTCAGAGGGCATTAACAGTTATTGAATACATTACTCCACACACACAATTTTAACCAAACACTCACGGTGCCTCCTTACAGTAGCCATGCTGTCCCACCCAACAGGTAGACCAGCGGGCTTATAGCACTCACAGGTCAAGAACCCCAAGGTGGTGACAAGAGACGTGTTTGGGAAGATGATCCAATATTGCCAAAGTGCATCACAACTGCTTTTATGGAAAGGATCAGAATGTCGTTGGCCCTCTTCGCCACGTTGCATGGTTTCCCATTGATGTTGCTATGTCTAGAGTCAAGGGAAATTGGATGCCTCGCACCCAGCAGACACAGGTCTTCGCCTGGCCTAAATGTAGCTCTTCACCTATCACAGATGTGGCCATCAAGGCTCTGGGAAGGCACCTGCCTTGTCAGCCAGTTTTAAAATGACAGAATGGGACCTCCTGTGTGGTCTGTCAACACTGCATCTAGGCGTCATGGTCCCAGGATCCTACTTTTAAACCCCAGAGGGTTGCCTGATGAGTTACAGAGCAGGATAGGCAGTGAGTGACAAGACCCAGCAGGGTCCCAGGCTCGGGGTTGGGATGAGTGTCTTCCCTGAGTAGGCAACCCTGCTGGAGCAGAGGGGATATAGGGCTTCTTCCACTGTGCAGCACGATACTCCAATGCTCCCACCAATCCCCCCTCCCCCGAAAGAGACTACATATGGGAGAACTCTGACTGGGCAGAGAGAGGGACAGAAGCCCGTGTGGTGTCCTAGAAACTGGAGCACTTCCATTTTAATAGTCTATTTCCAAGTACCCTTGTGGGGGCACAAGACATATCCCAGCACAACCACTGGACAGCCAGGCCTCTTCTCCCCACGGTAGGACACAGTCTTCCACTGAGCATCCTGAGTGCTGCCTTCTCACAAGCCTGTCTATGTTCAGGGCATAGGCAGCATCATAAAATGTCCAGACGCTAACTGTCACATCCCCAAACTCTATCTTCTATGAGTAAAGAGACGACCCTGCCCTTTGAACGGTATTTCTGACAGTGGAGACACATTCCACAGGGCATGTCTCTTCTCTCCCTCTCAGACAGCTGAATAGGGTGAGGGGGTCGGCGTTTTGTAGCTGAGCACGAAAGTACTTGGACCCAACGGTCTCAAAGCCGTAACCTCTAATTCATCACCAGCGTGAACTTGCCAACTGTGCCCTAGAGCTTAGAAATCACACATGGAGCCAGCAGATTCAAACCAGGCAAGCTAACAGTGGAAAGGCCTAACAAAGAGCACCCAGGCCGATGACCCACTTCAGTCACTGCCAACATGGGCCGCTGGGGCTTTTGGAAAACACTCCATTCACTCCCTCTTGAAACATTTTGTTCCGTAAGAATTATTACACAACGTTTTGTTCTTTGAAACATCATCTGCACACTCCATGTCTGTTCTCAGGATCAAGCCAAATGGTGGACAGCTGCTTTTCCATCCTCCTCGGGGTCCTAGTCTAACTTCCCAGATCCCACAGACACAGCCCCACAGAAAATAAGACTCCAACCCCTTCACATCCTCGGGGCTGGGAGGCAGAAATACTTGAAAAACTTCAGGGTTAAGATACGCAAGGTAGCTTGTAACCTCAGCATTTGGGAGCCTGAGGCAGGAGGATTGTATGGATTTCGAGGCCAGCCTGGGCAGCAGTATGAAATCTGTCTCAATAACACAAAACCAACAATTGAAAGGAAACTGAATCTCTAGGACTTCTGTCACTAACCGATGAAAGAATTCTAAGGCTTGCCGGGCGTTGGTGGCGCACGCCTTTAATCCCAGCACTCGGGAGGCAGAGCCAGGCGGATCTCTGTGAGTTCGAGGCCAGCCTGGGCTACCAAGTGAGTCCCAGGAAGGCCGCAAAGCTACACAGAGAAACCCTGTCTCGAAAAACCAAAAAAAAAAAAAAAAAGAATTCTAAGGCTCTAGAGATGAGATGCGTGCTTGACTGTTTCAGGGGGGAATGTACCAGTGTGTGCTGCTGACTTGACACCCCAACAGGAACAGGATGGGCCGCCTGGGCCGCCTGGGTGGAGGTAACCATGATAAAGTACAACAGGATATTAACTGTGCATTCTAGTTGGTGGTCTGTGGTCGTGGACTGTAAAACTCCTTGTATGTCCAGTGTAGAATTTCTTGTTTTCTTTGCTTTTCTTGTTTGTTTTGAGACAAGGTCTCACTATGTAGTTCTGGCTGTCCTGGAACTCACATGTAGACATGTAGACCAGGCTGTCCTGGAACTCACAGAGATCCTCTTGCTCCTGCCTCCGAGTGCTGGGATTTTGGCTCAGCGTAGATTTCTTTTAGTTTTTCCTAATTAATTATAATGGGAGTGGGTCCTCTAAGAGTCACCGACAACAACATTCAGGGGCAGTGGGTGCAAGCGGGGCTGGCACGGGTCCACTCACCAGCCCCATCCTAACTTCTCAACCTTCCTCCACCCCAAAGGGCAAGAAGCAGAGTCTGTGGAGAGAGGGCTGGTTTGCTTAGGTACTGCCTGTGCTCACAAGGTCCAGAATACACTCCAAAGGGCAAGTTATGCAAAGGCCCAGGGTCAGGTCTCCACCCTGCTTGCTGCAGAACAGAGGTCCTCAGCCCTGAGGCCTGGCTACAGGCGGATTCCCGGGCTCCGTGACTTCCTGGGTGAGCCCCAGGAACCTGCTCTTTCTTAGGCCCAGGGTGGTTCTGGCATCCTAGCCTCAGCTTGGGACAACCAAAACTGCTTACTCCATCCTCCCTCAGGGGACAAGAGGCCCTGGGGTTCCCATCTGCTCACTCCAGCGGGGAGCAGCACCCCGCCCAAAGGGGAGGGACTGCCCCCCCCCCCCCCCCCCCCCCCCGCTCTAGTTCCAGGGTCGCCCCCGCTCAGGGGCTGGGGTGGGGGCCCGCCTCGCACCTCTCCTGCAGCAGAGGGGCAGACTTGCAAGCTCCGCCTTTACCGGTGTGTTCTGAAGCCCAGCCAGGAGAGGCAAGAGGTGTCGGGAGCCCAGCAGGAACCGGAGGAGGAGCTCTGAGGAAGAAGAGCTCTGGGCAGGATCCACTCAGAGGAGGAGGAGGGGGTGCTGTGAGGAGCAGCAACTCTGAAGAGGAGGGCACTGGAGGAGGAGGGGACACTCTGAGGAGGAGGATCCACCCCGGGGAGGAGGGGACACTCGGAGGAGGAGGAGGAGGAGGAGGAGGAGGAGGAGGAGGAGGAGGAGGAGGAGGAGGAGGAGGAGGAGGGAGTTTGAAGGACGCCTTCTAGGGAAGAGGATCCGAAATGAGGGGGAGCTCTAAGGAAGAGCCCCCCCCACTCAGTCTCTCCCAGCACCCAGAGCCGGCTTGAGACTTATTAGCTTGTGCTCCCAGAGGGCTCCAGGCTTACAGTGGGCCACAGGTGGTTCTTGGGGGCACTGAAGACAGAGGGAACTGCAGTGAGAATTAAAAAAAAAAGTATAGCGAAGCATTCATCCTTTGCACACAAGGGAACCATGATGAGATTAACAGTTAACTTCCCATCAGAGACTGTGGAGACCAGAAGATACATATGCAAATCCTGAAGAATGTCATCCAAATTTCGTCAAGAAAAATTATCCTTCAGGAATTAAGGAAAAAGCAGGACATTTCCAGAAAAAAGCTGAAGGGAATCACTATCAGTGGACTTGCCTTACAAGGCATGGTAGAGGGAGTTCCCCGGGCTGAAAAGAGATGATGTGAGCTGTTGACTCAAAGTCAGAGAGGTGAGCACAGGGCACGGTAACAACGCCATGAATAAAAGTGTTAGTGTGCTCCAGGATTGTAATTCCTTTCTTTTTGCCTGTCTGGCTGCAAACGCCAATGCATGAAACAATGATTACAAATCTGTGTTCACAATATAAGATGTACAGATACGCTATCCGTGGCAATAATAACAGGACAGTAGGGGAGGCCCCCACAGAGGTCAAATGCACAGAGTTGGTATACCACAGAAAGTAAATTGCCACTCAAACAAGGTTTTTGTAAGTTTTAGGCATTGATTACACCTGGAAGCTCCCTGGCCAGCTCTCCTGGAGTGTGTATGGTGGCAGAAACAGCAAGCAAGACTCTGCCCCCAACAAGGTGGAAGATGAGACCCGAACCCCAGAAGTTATCCTCTGACCTCTATATTCGCTCAGGGGCATGTCCTCTCCCCACCCCATGTATACATCCTAATAACGAGCTTTAAAAGATGTTGACTTAATCCCCGAGGTAAAGAATGAAAAGCAAATAAAATGTACGAAAGTAAAGAGAATTAAAGAGGAACACTGAGCAGTGCAGAAAGGCAGAGATGGGGCCGTGAAGCGGAGACAAAAGGAGCGCGGAAATAAAGAAGTGAAGCGGAGGAGGCAGCGGCCTCGCTTGCTCTCTATTGCTGTGATGTGAACCCTTGGACCAGAAGAGACTCTGGGGAGGAAAGGGTTGACTTCAGCTTACACTTCCAGGTCACAGGCCATCAATAAGGGGAGTCGGGGCAGTAGCTGAAGCAGAGACCACAGAGGACGCTGCACACTAGCTTGCTCACAGGCACCTGCTTAGCTGGCTTTCTCATCCAGCCCAGGGCTTCCTGCCCAGGGAATGATGCCACCTATGTTGATTGGGCCTTCGTTTATCAATTAACAATGAAGATAAACACACACACACACACACACACACACACACACACACACACACACACACAAGCCTACAGGTCAATATGATCCAGACTTCTCTCAGCTGAGACTCCTTTCTCAGGTGACTCTAGACTGTATCAAGTTGACAGCTAAAGCTAAGAGAGCAAGGGTTTCCTCTCAGTAATTAATTGAGGATTAATTGAAGTGTACCTGAGTTAAACCCTCTTATTGAAAGCAGACATTGGTAAATTGGTTAAGAAATGAGATCCATGTGCATGCCAGTTTCAGGAGAGCCATCAGATAAAATGAAATAAAGAAGCTGAAATTAGAAACATTGGAAAATATATTCTATGCAAAAAGTAACCAAACCAAGGTGGCTGTATTGCAGTCTAATAGACGATTAAAAGTTTAGGGCAGGAAGAAGATGTAAAAATCACAAATGCACAGTCACACACTGCATACTGATGATAGTCCAGAACAGACGGTATAGCGGCTTATGGTCCTATAAGATTATATCACCAGGTGACATCACAGCCGTCTTAGTTTCTGTAAACACACTACAGTGTCTGCACAATAATGTGATGTAGAGATAATGCAGTTCCCAGACCAATTGCATCCGTAAGTGACATCTGACTGTGTGCAGGGAACCAGAGAGACCAAGGCAGATGGGGAGAAAGGGAAAGATCAGAAGGAAGAGATCGCCGTATAGTCATAGATGAGGGTCTGACGGCTGACTCTCAACAGTGGATAGAAACACCACCCAGGAGCTCCTTGAGGAAACTCAGGATGTGAACCAGTTAGCGCAGGACTGTGAATCAGCTGGACCTGCTAGACACAGAGAGACCCTCGGTGGCCTCAGCACGTGCACACAGCCAAGAGCACAGGATCATTCTCCTGGACGATCACACGTTAGGCCAAATTCACGTTCAATACCCTTTCAAAAACTGGAGTCTTGGGGCTGGAAAGATGGCACAGTGGTTAAGGGCCCTGGCTGCTCTCCCAACAGACCCGGGTTCAAATCCCAGCACCCACATGGCAGCTCACAACTGTCTGTAACTCAAAGATCTGACCTGCAGGCAAAACACCAATGCACATAAAATAAAAGTAAATAAATTAAAAAAAAACAAAAACAAAAACAACAAAACAAAACAAAAACTGGAGTCTTCTGGCTGGGCACAGTGGCATATGCCTGAAATCCCAGCAGTGGGAAATCTACCACAGAAGGATTGCTGCAAGTTTGTGACATTTCAGGCCACCCTGGGCTATATAGTGAGACATCCCCCCCCCCCCTCACACACACACACACACACACACACACACACACACACACACACACACACAGCCATAAACAGGATCTTTCCTGCTGCTGTGGAATGAGCCTATAAATCTACACATTAGCAGTGAAATGGAAACTGGACAAGCATGTGGATATTAGCAACAATTTTCACAAACAGCCAGAGGGTCAAAATGCACATACACTCAGACAGCAACCCGAGGTGATGATCACAGCAGCTTCATTCATAGCAGCTGAAGGAGTAAACCCAGTGTCTACTGATAGTTGAGTCTATTACAAAAGAAAGGATCTGTAATCTCTAGATTACAGAGCTCCCAGAACCAAATCATAAAATACAATTTTTCCTTATTTTTTTAAAGATGTATTTTAGTTTAATTTATATATACCTGTATGTGTCTGTGGGACATGTGTCTGTGTGCCTGCCACATGTGTGTGGGTGCCTAGTGTCGCCTAAGGCCAGAAAAGGATGTTGGATCCCCTGGAGCTGGAGCTATAGGCACTGATGAGTCCCCAATGTAGGTGTAGGGGATGGAACCCAGGTCCTCTGGAGGAACAGCAATAGCTCTTAACCCCTGAGCCATCTCCCCAGCCACTATAAGCTTTAAAAAAAATGTATACACAAATACAATGTTTGTTTTATAGATCAGGCACAGCAAGAGATTAACAATAATAACTAATGACAATTATAACAAAATACAGTTCTTAAATGTGGAATCCATCTCTCAGAGATCTCTCTGCACCCACACAATACTACGTGTGGTGCTGCGGGATGATGCAAGGAAGGTGAGCTGGACTGAGGAGAAGAACGTGGGTGTTGTGATACAGCATTGGGACACTGTCGCCTTCCTCCTTGAACACAAGAACTGCGATATTACAGAGGCAGATCCAACAACACAAACCCTTACGATGTCCCTAATAACATGAACATGTAGGACAAAGACACCCTTATGTTCCCAACATATGTGGGATGGTGAAGAATATAAGAAGCGATTTAGTGAGACTCCTCCGAAACGCACACAATTCCAAATCTGAGAATTACTCATTTCTGGAATTTTCCAGGTAATGTTTTTGGACCGTGGTTATCTACTGTAATTGACACCAGAGACAGATGAGTTCTGGGTGAGCACTCGGACAGTGTTAATTGGTACAGTGGACGATTGTTCAGCTTAAAAGAGCTAGTGTGATGCCTGCTGAACACGAAGGAGCCTTGAAGACTTAAGTCAGTCACAAACAGTACATGATTACACTTGTCAAATCGTAGAAATAGAAGGCAGAGTGATGGGTGCGGGGGCTGGGCAGAGGAGAGAATAGGGAGCTACTGTCCCGGGGTGCAGAGCTTCAGTTTTAGCAGATAAAGCGATCGGAGGAGGGATTGTGGTGGTGGGGATGACTTGATACCCCTGAGCTGTACTCTGCAAATGGAGAGGATGAACACTGGTGTGGCATGCTGGAACATGCTGGCTGAGCATGCATAAGGCCTGGGGGTCAATTCCCAACACCATGAGAAATAGAATGGTAAGGCTGGTAAATATTAGTGATGCTTAACCAAAATAAAACAAAAGAGACGCACAGACAACAGTTTCAATTTGCCTTGCATGCCAAGAAGCGTGGCTAGGGCAGTAGAGTGACCTCAGCTGGCGCAGTTCTGTTCCGCACATTCCAGGACAAGTGTTGAGTGCCCTCAGCCTGTGGGGAGACCTTGCCTGAGAGCCTGGAACATGCTGATAGCAGTGTCTCCGCACAGCTGGGGCTGAGGGCCATGCGGCCCCATTTACAACAAACAGCAACAGGTTTTAGGCAAGTGGCCTCCATGGCCTGATTCTGACTTGGAGGATGTGGAGACTGAGGTCATCCATGTGGGTACCCCCTGAAACCGTGCTCATGTCTGTGGGACCTCCAAACTTCTGGACAGTGAGGCTCTACTGTGAGCGATGTCCTCAACCTCAGTCACACTTGGTGGCTGGGAGTCCCTATGCCCAGCCCCCTGACACATGTGACAGACGGCTGGGGTGTGCCCAACCCCCTGAGCTCTGCTGTCCCTTTCCCTGCTGCTGCTCTTCTTCCCTGTCCTCTCTCTGCCGTCACCTCTGTGGGGACAGCAGCCTTCCCAGCTCTGGGGGCCTTTCCAGGCACTCATGCACCTCAGAGGACCATGCTGATTCTTAGCAGAAGCCTATTACTCCTATCCCTGAGACCCATGGAG